CTTTGTTGGCCGACGTTCCAGCACCTTCAAGTTTGGCAGGAGTTTCTCTATAATTTTCTCGAGCAGTTTGTCTTGCTTTCATCGATAGTTTCCTTCCGCCAGTTCGCCTGGAAATTCTTCCATGCTTTTGGTCGTAGAATTCTAGCTCGCTAGGTAAGTACGAAAGTAGGTAATCTTCGTCATCGTACAAATCAAAATCGAGAGATTCTTCATCGGAATTTAATACGCTATCGCTGTACGCTGATGTGTATTCAAGGACATCTTCGTTTGCACAAGCCGAAGGATCTGAACCCGAGGTCTCTGTCATTATAAGAACAAAAAAGAACTATTCAGTGTAAAGTAGCGAGTCTAATGAGAAAGAAATTAAATAACACCGGATTTTATACCTTACATATGTCCCAAAATCGAGAATTTGCGCCAAATATAGCTACATTAGCTATTACCAACAGGCTAAAAATACTCAAAACAGAAACTTTCCGACTGTGGTGCAATTACAAACCTGTAACCAGATTTCCTCGGTCAAAAAATAAACAATAGAAATTTCACCACTCGTTCCAGGCCTGCTCATCACATGGAAAAAATGAGCGATGGCGGCAGATTTTATCGGAGTACAGCATGTAGCTAATGCCAACTTTATGACAAGTGTGTGTCAAAATGATAGGTTTTTGATGTTAGGTTGAGTTAAAACTTATTCAAAATTTCAGGCTATGGTTAAAAATGAGTGGTCAAAACGGGACGGTAGTCAACACCAATCCCGCAGACGAAACAGGTGAAAGCGAAAGTGAATTGGGAAAACAACCGTTTTCATCAACCGAAAACGAACAGGCCTTCAGAGGTCCAAAATTTTCTCCACCTGTTTACCGTCGTCGATATGCTGCTGTTTGTGAGCTAGCAAAGGAACATCAAGCAAGAAAGGTAATGTCCAAGTTTGGTAAAAAAAACTGCTAACTTATCAGCTAGGATCAGCTAGGAGAAAGAAAGTCAGTCCTTGGACTGCGGACTACGGATTACGGAGCAGAGACCGGGTATAAAATTAATGCAAGGTCACGTAGAATTAAAAATGACCAACGTTGGAGAAGAGATTGCATGACAAGTCAAAGGAATTTTTTTTGTGTATTAGGCCAGGACTATTGTTTTATGCTAGTTTGCAATCTCTCGCCTTTAATCCACAGTTCACAGCTGTAGGCTATATTTTATACTGTCTGGTGTAGTTGTGATTTCAGGGGTATGGAAATCGGGTTCTATTGGGGTATCTATTTTAGAAACATTTTCTAGGAAAGGGTACAACATGGACAAAAGCTTCACAACCTTAGCAGTCGGCAAAATAAGTTTTAAAACAGGGTTTAAAAACTAGACACAATTTATCTCTTGCATGAGATATCAATATATTTCAGTATGAATTCCTTCAAAAATCATGGTCGAAATTTGGAGCTCTGCGCAGCACACACCCACTCAGCTGAGAACCTTTCTGTGATACCACAGGAACATGTATCAAAAGCGTTAAGAGTTTGTAGATATTTGGTAAAAGGAAATCTGGTTTCTTCTTTTGTGTGGCATTAAGAACCAGATATAGGGAATTAAAGGAAAAGGATTTTTAGCATTTAAAAGCATGAGATGTGAGCTAAGCTAAGCTTTTTTTTTTTTTAATAACTGTTTTGTTAAAAATGTTCCTCTATTTACTATTTTTTCTAGACCTGGTTGACTTTTTAAGGTATAATAAAATTATCATTATTAATAATATTCTTATCTTAGGTCCTTGATTTTGGGTGTGCTGAAGCAAAACTTGTAAAGGCTTTAATAAATCAGGAGTCATTAACTCATTTGGAAGAAGTGGTTGGTATAGATATCAACAGAGATCTTCTTGAGGAGAATAAATTTCGCATTAAGCCTTTCCTAGGGGATTACCTGAGACCTCGTACTCATCCATTTAAAGTTTCTCTGTATCAGGGTAAGTATAGTCAAGTCAATTTATAGCTCCTTTTAAAATCCATATGTCATTAACATTTTAGCAAGCAAGCAGTGTATGGCCTTCAACAAGCAGACAACCATTTTCCATTGTCTGTACTCTCAGATACAGGCCCAGGGTGGATACTCCCGCAAATTTTGGATAGGGGTGTGTCGCAAAGGTTCGTGAACCCTAACCCTATTTAAGGACTAAAAAAGCGAAAACTGATACCCTTTTTAAGGCCGAAAGCCGAAAAATGACATCCTATCCAAGGAAAAAACAACATTATTAATAGCATGAAAAGGAAAACTTTATTTCTTCTCTGAAATAAGCCTAGTTTAAAAAAAAAAGGTTTGTTTAGGCAGGCGTTTTCACACTCCAGTATTAGATAATACAATTAAGCTACCCTATCTAAGGACCACACCAGGGACACAGAAACAAAAGGGTAAAAAAAGATACCCTATTTAAGGACCGAGAACCTCAAAAACCATACCCTCCCCCCCCCCCCCCCCCCCCCCCCCCCCCCGGGGATACAGGGTTTAATAAACAGGGGCAACCTCGTTTCCAGGTTCTCTCTCCTATGGGAATGAGATTGATACAGGGGAAATTTCATGTTAGAGAGATTAAAACAGATTGGCCCATTATTATGTCATTTCCTTGGTCTATTGTGTACTCCCAGAGAACATTGCTCTTTTACCAATGAGCTGGTGCGAAATCACTCAGTTACATTATGTGAAGGTTATTTAGATTTTGTTTTGATATAAACATTTGATTTGTTATTTAGCACTTTTGGCTATGTTGCCATGTCATTTGTAAAGATCATGAATTTTTTCGTTGAAACCGCCTGACACTGTTTTGAACCATTTTCATCATGGAATCTTTATCAAGTGATTGAATTGGATGCAAAGATTAATGTTTATTATAATGACTAGGCCTGGACCCTAACTGCTTTTGACGATATAATTGGGGTTAACCTACCCTGCTAGCAGAGTCGCTTCGATCTTTCCTAGATAAAGCTAGGAAGATCGAAGGAGACTCTGTTCGCAGGGTAGGGTTAAGTGCACAAATTAATAAATACCAACTGTCGTTGTTATTGTTGCTAAATATATAGGAACAAAGTAATTATTGACTTATTAATATGGCATGTTTTTTTAGGTTCTATAGGTGAGGTGGATGGAAGATTTGTTGACTTTGACTTAATTGCTTGTGTTGAACTGTAAGTTGCCATATATAGAGTATTTTCTGTGTTCAGACAAGGCTAATAATTGGCAATGATTTAATTTGTGAATGAATCAAAATCAATCTGTCCTCACACAGGGTCAGGTAGACAAATTCTGGATCAGATCATCCCCTTTAACCCCATCCCTATAACCTACTGTGTCTTTCCGTGAGTTACAGTACTTTGCTCAATCCAGGTTTTGTTGACACCAATCTAAGTGTTGAGTGAATTTAATATTGCATTGGCCTGGACAAAAAATCATAGGCTGGAATTGTATGGTTTGTGCATGTAGCATTCTGTTATAAGCAGTTTTAACTGTCATTTGAATTTTCTGACCTATTTGCCTCCTAACAGGATAGAGCACCTTGAACCTGATATTCTTAGTTCAATGCCAGAGGTTGTGTTTGGCCACTTGTCACCCAAGGTTGTTATAGTGACTACACCCAACGTGGAGTTCAATGTATTGTTCCCCGGTCTCAAAGGATTCCGACATTATGATCACAAGTTTGAATGGACAAGAGCTGAATTTGAGGAATGGTTAGTTCCTGGTCTTGTGCATGTGAATACTGGTAATTTTAAGGGCTAATCGTTCAAGTATGAGCATTAAAAGCTGAATGTAGATATTGGACTGCCATTTTTAATTTATAATAGTACATTCACTATTAGCCTTCTTCTACTATTTGTCTAATGAATTTGACCTGTTTTAGGTTACTTGGTAGCTACAATATATACTCCTCACTATTTTGTTGAAACACCTGTCATGTTACTTCCTTCCCAATGTTGATTCATGTATAACCTATTTGCAAACATATGCAAATCTCAACATTGGGGTAGGAGAGAAGAAGACATAGTACACTCGGGGAAAAATAAAATAAGTTGGTTGACTAGGTGTGGCACGAACAAACCTCTGTTTCAGTCTGATGTTTTAACAAATTTGATGAGTTATGTAGCATTGAAGAGGTACATTACAAGGGGAGGGTGTTCTTATAACCTCCATCAACAACTGATTTTATGTATAAGGTATTGCACTCAAACAACATTATATTTATTTAATACTAATCTCGCTGTTTTGGAGAGTGGGAGACTGCTAAAAATGCCTTGTAATAAATAAAAACTGTTTGGACTTTGTAGGTGCAGTTCCCAGGCCAGCCAGTACAACTATACTGTGAGTTTTGACGGCATTGCACCTGGACCACAGGGTACAGAACATTTAGGGTGTTGCTCACAGGTTGCAGTGTTTAAGAGGATTTCATCATCCGTTTCTCCAGAAAAGTTATTGCAAACTTGCCAGCCTTATAATCTGGTACTTCATATTTTTATTCGCCTTGAGTTCTATATTTATTTTTTATATTGTTACTGCATGGTTGTATTTATTGCAATTTAATCATCATTATGGAGTACTGAGTGATTTCTTAATTTGTGTGTGGTATGACACTAAATTTTTAACTGCTCTGTGTTCATCTACCTTGCTAACAGAGGATTCTTTTTGTCATGGTTTTTAGCCTTTATAAGGTGACATTCAGCACTAAAGACTTTGAGAATGCTAAAAACCATGCCAGAAAAAAGCTTGTGCTAGCGGTAGTGTTTATCAAAAGAAAAGTATTTTCTTCCCTTCTGTGGAGGATATAATTTATTGAAACTTGAGACATCGACCACAGGAATATTTTTTGACTTGTACATCATGACTTTGTGTACAATTTTCCAGTTATCACAAATTTTCATCTCAATAGGTTGCAGAGGTTGAGTTCCCATTTAAAAGGGACACAAGAACAGAGAAAGAAAAGATTTTACATGAGGTGGAATATGTGTTGTGGGTATTATCTTCTAAGGAGGAGGAGGAGGAGGAGGAGGGTAGTGATGAGTCAAGACCCAGCGATGAGGATGTAATTGAGCTGGTTTCTAATGATGAAGGTAATAATGAACTGACATCCAGCAATGATGATGATGATAAGCCAACACCCAGCGATGAGGATGTAATTGAGCTGGTTTCTAATGATAAGGGTAATAATGAACTAACATCCAGCAATGATGATGATGATAAGCCAACACCCAGCGATGAGGATGTAATTGAGCTGACTTCTAATGATGAAGGTAACAATGAACTGACATCCAGCAATGATGGTGATGATAAGCCAACAATCAGTGATGATGGAGTAATTAAGATGACTCCCAACGACGAACATAATAACAAACTGACACCCAATAATGATGGTAATGATGAACGAACAGCATATTGTGGTGGTGTAATTGAATGGACTCTTAATGATGAAGATAATAATGAACTGACACCCAGCAACAGTGGTGATGATCAACAAACACCCAGTGAACATAATGATAATGAACTTTCATCAAGCAGTAGTCACAGTGATAAGCAGTCACCAAAAGATAATGATGTAATGGCAGAGGAACTTCAAGGTTTCAATGATTATTCAAAGAGCATAGATGGTGTTGAAGAACGAATATACTCACTTGAGAAACTGCTAGCCTTTCCATCACTTCATAAGTTGTGTGGTGACGACATTCAGAAGCTCAAGTAGGTTGATGAAAAATAACTTACGTAGAATAGTTGTGCGTGAGTTATGGGCACTAGTAGCTCCAGTCTACCGTGGTAGTCAATGGTCCAAAGGAGTAGTTCCAGAAAAAAAAAATACTTCCACACCCCTCCATGGAATTTTCATTTCCAGACGTTGTAACGTGAACTCCCCTTGCCAATGGAATTATTCATATAACTAATTTTTGTGAAGAAAGTGCTAAATAAGTGGTGAAAAAGTCGTAGCTTTCCAAAAAAATGATTCACTTGATAGTTGTGTTTATAATGGCCTATACAGGGAAGCTCTGCTCGAAAAGGTTATCTTCTTCAGGCTTCAGGTATATGAAAGGTATAGGGATTTCACTAGTTCAAGTATACGAACGGATAAAAATCTGTCATTTCAGTCAGTAAAAAGACCCACAAGGCCTAACAGATGCATTTATTTTATGACTGTGAGGAAGTTGAGAAAAGGTTCTGGTTTTGTGATTTATTTGTATTTAGCAATGCAAAGTTATAAACTAAGTAGGTGTAGGAAAGGGGTTCCTTTTCTGTCAAAAAAAGTTCTATAAGTAGGGTAAGGGGTTGGACCTCTGGGCAGAACCTCCCTGTATAAAACGTTCTTGAGTACCCCTTCCCCCAAACCCCCTTGTATTTATTATAGCTATGTAAACAAAGCTGTCTCTTCTTAGCCATCAGTCTCAGTAAGTCTTGGCAATCTAATGAAAAATAAATGAAACATGCTACATTGAAAGTAACTTTTCTCTACAGACATGTTCTGCAGGATTCTCCTTTGTTTCAACTTACGAAGGATGGACTGGGAGTTCTCTGGAACAAGCCTTCAAATAATTGGAGCAGTGAAGAGAGTGGTGGTGACTGGGATGCCTGTGCTGATGAACAGGAATTAAACAAATCTGTTAAATATCAAGAAATGGAAAATGAGGAACCTGAAAATTGGGAAAATGTTAATGATGACGAGGTTTGCACAACTTCTGCTGCTCTAACTCCTTCATTGCAGTCTGAGGTTTGTTGGGAGTTGCCAAATGATTGTTGTAAATTCTGGAATGGCAAAGACTGGAGTGAAGTTGAGGAGCAAGGGACTCAGGAAGAGGAAGAAGAATGTGATACACCCTTTCATTCCGGATATAATGTTACAGTTATTGTACAGGAAAGTGATGAATCGTTAAATAATGATAGTGATGAAAATGATTTTGATGGTCTTGTTTGGATGACAGAGAAAAGTAGTGTGTCAGAGTAATAGAGAAGTGACAAAAATGAATTAATAGAGGGTTGTCAGAAAGTTTTGAAGTAAAAGGCTAAGTTGTCAAAGTAAGCAGCCAGTCCCGGGATATTTTATTTAAAAATCACCATCCGTAAAAAAGCCAAGACTACTAACCAAGTAGGCCGCGATTTTCGCTGGCATGGCAATCCGTTATTAAGCCCTCCTTTTCAGGGGAAGAAAAATATGAAGCCCTTCCCACTTTTCTTAAACGATAGACTTTATTAATTGATCAAGGCTGTTTACACTTCATGTAGACTGATCCAGTATGGGTTATTTACATGCTGGAAGATTGGACTTTTGACCTCCAACTTTATGTGCCTAAGCTTGTCCACTTTGCATTCTAGGTTCTTTTATGGACAGTTGATACCATCACCTTTGCTAAATTTAATAAGCCCTCCTCTCAAACCTGCTTGAAATAAAGCAGGTTTGAGAGTCCATGTGACTTAAAAGAGGATTTATGGTGTAAAATTGTATACTGCCATAGAATATCATGTCATTTTGCCTTTCAACATTTTCAGTCCTTAGAACGGGACTCATTTCTTACCATTGGGTACAGCAAAATGACCAGACTGGTATTAATTTTTTTAATGCACAGAGGAAAGCATTATATTCAGTATTTAAAAACAATATTTGCAACGAAAATATACATGTACATGTTCCCATTCTCTTCTTGTTTTTAATTTCCCCTGTCAATATTTTCTTCCTTACATGTAAATGTCCATGTTAATATTCTGATTAAATTTTTACAACTTACCGGTAATTATGGTATTAACCCTTTCAGTGCTTAATCAATTAATTGCGAGAAAATTTGTCACTCCAAGTCCAAAAAAATAATACAAAATAATCAAACATGGTTATGTAAATATATCGTGATCTAGTAGAAAGTAAAACTATGTTATTTGTATTATCACTGGGCAAATCTATGTTTGAACAGACAATTTTATGTGGCCCAGGGTTAAATTATTAGTTATAGGCAATATGGTACATGTTAATTTCTATTAATGTTAATATTTAAAGTAAGAAACAAACATTATTGGTCTTCAAATGAATGTCACTTGTGTTCATTTGCCCCACCTTTGTCCTTACAAGTGTCTGGGATGTTTAAAGGTTGGTTTCTAAAATTAATGCTCTGTAACTTGCTCACCAGCTGGTCAGGTCTGCATACTGGTTTGTGACATATTGCACTGCAGACATATTATGGTAAGCTTGACATGTTTGCATCAAAATTGAGCTAAACAAAGTTGGAATATCAGCTATCACTAAAATAAACGAAAAACACTTGTATGTGGTGCCTAGAGTTGTCTGAATGACATGTACATCTGACACAGACAGCTTCTGATCCTGTAGCAGCCCACTGCAGACCAGGCTTTGTAAAAGCAACATACATGTACAACTTACTGATAATTATTGTAGTTGTAAGTCACTCTCACACTTTAACTTCATTAACACTGATATTGGTAATCTGCCTGTTCTTGTTTGGTAACAACAAATATAACAGAAAAAGGTGATTACAAGTTGCTTGCAAGTTGTTTTTACTGGTAGTATTTTTTTCTACCCAAGAAGATTAACAATCTTTTTTAAATGGGGAGTTACACTTTGGTATTAAAAGTAATCATGTAGTTTGAGAGCAAACACTTTTCAATCTTCTTGACTGAACCTCTTACAACCTTGGTTTTAGAATGAATGTTACCATTCATCATGTGTTGAACAGTATTAATGATCAATCACTACTGTGGTTCAGGCTACTGTTGTTTTAAAACCTTCTACGAGTGTACAGAAACAAGTAAAAAATAATGTGGATAAGAACGAACAACGTTTGGGTGTCATCTTGACACCATTCTCAATTTCAAAATGATTGCTGATGAACTGACAAAAAATTTTTCGGGCTGATGACTAGCATGTATGAAATACGAATTGAGTCTGATTGGACATAATATTATAGAGAAGCTTTTTGCGTGACTCTTTATATTTCGTATATGCTAATCATCAGCCAGAAAAAGTTTTTGTCAGTTTATCAGCAAGCATTTTGAACTTGAAAATGGCATCAAGATGACACCGAAACATTGTTCGTTCTTATCCGCGTTGTTTTTGTTACTTGTTTCTGTATAACTTTAAACTACTAATGTCAGGGTTGTCACTAAGATTTCAAGTTGCCGGGTAAATACAACAAGAAGGCGGGGAATCAAACAGCTAGGGATTTCTTTTGGTTCTATTTTTCTTTTATTTTCCTTTGAAAGTAACCGGGGGAAATCCCCGGCCCCTGTATCTTAATGACAGCCCTGAATGTAGTCCGACAAATGAATGTATGACCACCCATTGCTTTGATTAGCTTTGTAAATGACAGTCAAAATGATTAAAGTTCCCTAAGTTGTACTTTTTCTTCCTACTTTAATAGAGTTGACACCCAGCGGCCAATAATAAGACCTAAAATTTGACATAAAAAGTTTCCAGCCACTGCTCCAATGACACTTCCAAATACTGGAATTGGGACGTTGTAGAAGCCAAAAGCTGCACCTCCCACCCCACCCAAAAATCCTGACACTATGGGGGTCACTCGCTTTGCTTTGATCTTTTCAGCCTCAACAGGTGTCACGTGACCCTTCACTTTGGCATGATCAGCCAGAAATACCTCGTAAGCAATCCACAAGACATCTTGAATTAGTCCTATAAACAGGCCTACTGCATGTCCAATGAGCAACACTGAGGTCTGAGCTACAAAGCCTGTTGCAGAAGCTACAAAAAACAACATCCCACCAAATATACCCTGAAAAGATACAAACAACAGTCTCGCCATGGCCCAAATTACATCATGTGATTGATAGCTTTCGGGCTTTCCAGCTTTGCATTCTCGACAGAAATGCTCACAGTTACTTGTAAAGGCGTTATAATCCCTCTCTCCCATCCGCTTTCTCGCCCGTCGGACAACCTCATCTGCTGTAAAAACCACCTCTCCGTCGACGCTATCCGTGTTGCTCAAAGGGTATTCAACTCTGTAGACAACTTGTTGAGGTTCGAGAACAAATCGTGTTCGAACAACCTCAGCTTTTCCCATAGGATTACTTTCTCCTAGAGATCGCAATCCGGTTTCCATGTCTCCAGTCTTGTGAATAACCCAAGCAAATTTCGGTCGAACTTTCTCCACGATGAAGTGATGCCAGTAACCTAAAGGGCTTTCCTCCATAAGATGATCTCCTTTACGGAGTTGCAGCAGTGATGTAATCCTTGTTCGCGGAGAAATTCTACCAAACGGCACTGGTGGCTTAGCTTCCTCGAGGTTAAACATAATATACAAACATAACACGAAAAATCCCCGGGGTTCGATTTTCAGGACTATGGCTACTTTCGCTTCGGTTGATCCTTGCCGTTACACCGTCTACGTGCGTCTACAAGTGATCGATCTCTAAATTTTGGCACGTGATTTTTATGCCGCGCACCGCTCAACGTACCCCCTTTTTTGTTAATTTTTAAAATATTTACTTTTTGTTGACGTTGGAACCTCAGTGTGCCCACACATGGTCGCTAAGATTTATACATCTCAGTCTGATCTCCACGTCCCTTGCCTCTGCAAAATTATGCAAACGAGGAAATTATTACAGCAAAAACACAAAAATATGCTAGATAAAAAGTTTAAAGTAGAAACAATAACCTACGACCTCAGTGATCAGGTTCCAGCATAAAGTTAAAACATTTTTTGCAATCTCTGCTAGAATTGAATAGCTAACCAGAGGAGAATGAAGGGAATTAATTTATAATGAAAGAAAGGAATATTTTTACCACGGAAAAGGACGAACAAAATACTTTTTCGTGTCCCACTGCACATAAACGTCAACGTACAATTTATAGTCAGCGGCATTACTTAGGTACACTAAAGGAGAAATACATGAAGCAATAAATGAAAATCCAAGATGGCGGACGACGTCATAGAAGAACTCCAACAGAGTTTATTACAGTTTGTGAGTCTACCTTGGAATATTTTTACAGGAAAAAATTAATCTTTTTCTGACTTATTTTACTTTTGTAGCGTGTGGAAGATCCTAATACTCACCTCATCCTGGTAGCTACTCAAAAATGTATCGATAGTGGCAAGCTGAATAAACTTGCTGACGTTTTAACTTGCCCGGATAATAAGGTTTGTTTGATTATTTTTCTGAAATTGTGCTAATGTCAGACTTGTATAGTTAGTCTGCACCGATCAGTGCCTAGAGGTAAGAACCTTTTTTTTACGGTGACAACTTTTGCGAGAAATTGTTGTCAGATTTCGAGACCATGAGCGTGTGCCAGTAGAGGATATTACAATAAATGTAGAGTAAACTTCTTCAGTTAACCTTTACATTGCAGGATACTTTGGAATTTGTTGGATGGGAACTTATTGGGGTAATTTGTCAAGCCTTTGTTTATGGAACTGATGTTAGCGTCTTAGAAGAATGTAGAAAGATTCTTGAAGTCATCGCTCTGGTAAGTTAGACATTGGAGGTACAGTGACGTGTATGGTGTCATTTCCCCTGTAAGTTGATTCATCAGACAGCAGTTTGACTTGACTAACATCACTTTACCCAATAAGTATAAAATAGGCTCATCCTTGGTGTAAAAACCTGTGAAACTCATGAGTGACACAAAAGAATGAATACAAAGAAGCCACTGAGAAGTCAACACAATAGAGCTAAGGAAATTAATAGCTAGAAAACAAAGAAAAACTTCACAGGTTTTTACACCTAGGTAAACCTATAAAATAAGTATTTGTCATTCCATGAGCAAGCATAAAAGTAACTTCTAAGCCACGTTGTTCAGTAGTTTTTTTCGGTGAAAACTTAATAAAAAATATTTCAGCAATCAATGTAGCTGAGGTAGCCAGGGTAGACATCAGTTCTGTCTCACATCTAACAGTCTTAAGACTGTTCAAATTGCTGGACTTTAATTATATTGAAACAATGGCATGTGGGGGGTGTTTACATGGACACCGGGGCGACATTCGTGCCAGTGCAAGTCCACTCTAATTCTGGCTCTGTATTTTGTTTTCATGGTACCACCACAAAGTGTCATGCCGGCACAAGTCACACCGGCATGAGTTCACCCCCGTTGTTTGGAGCAAGAATCTCACTCCGGTTAGAAATTTTGCAACGGTATAATGTAAACTTGAAATGACCACTCATTTTGGTGTGAAATTGGTCTGCTGGTTGACTGGAATGTGTGGTTCCAAAAGTTATCCATAACTTCCCCACAGAAGGAATTCCAGTCAAGCTTCATATATTTCATATATTAAATTTTTTGGCCTTTGAGAACCCCCCACGCCCAAGGAATTTCCAATCCCTTCCGTGGGGGGAGGATGGATATTTTCTGGAACTACACAATGGGTAGCGCATTCGTAATTTTTGTCAATCCAAGATGGTGTCGTCATGTTGGTCATGGAACAACAAAAAAACATGAAAACATGTTAATGCGATACAGAATCAAGAAGTCACCCCATTATGAAACTCATGCCATTAAGAGTTATTTCATGTAAACTTCCCCTTAAATATGTCTCAGATATGTTTGTTTATTGTGTTGTATTATGACGTGTCATCAGCGAGTCAGCTTAAGTCCAGGTGAAAGTTTGTCAGCTAGGGGAATGGACTTTCAGGTTTAATGACAGCTATGTCCCTAATATTTTTATCACTTCCCTGCCTGTTTTGTAAAATAATGACAGCCCAGAAATAGTTGTACCTCAGGGGTATTTGCAATTCAAAGAAGCCAGTTTTGGCTGCATCCTTAACTGAAAATGGAAACTGCCAATCATTTGTAATTTATTATGTTCAACCTTTCAGACATGTAGTGCAAAGGAGGTCTGCATCGGAGTGCTGGAACAACTAGACAGCGATACAACTTTCAGTTTGGAACGGTTTGTTGTTTTGTTGGACATGCTCAAAATGGGTAGGTTAGTCTTAATAATAATCAATGGATTTTGGTAGATGGTTACTGAAAGTTATAAAAAATGCATTTTAATTCATCATCAAGTGCTGACATTACTGTCATCATCGTCATCATCATCATCATCATCATCATCATCTGATCATCATTATAATCATCATCGTGAATTAAATCATCATCATCATCTGATCATCATCATCAATGTCGTCATCAGCATGATTATCGTCACTGTTATATGCATTATCACAATGTCCTAATACTTAAATTTATTGTCATTGCCAATGTCATTATCATCAGAACCTCAGAATCTCTTTCTATTACCATTATAATAATCTTAGCTGTACACTGTACTTGTCTGAAAAGAACCCAAAGTTCTTTCTGTGATGTCTCTAAGTTTTTTGTTGCAGCGTTTGCCAGACCACAAATAGAAAGATATATGTACAGTGGAACCTCCATAAAAGGAACTTAGATGTAACATTAGTCCTCAGCATAAAGAATTATATTCTCTTTGCCTTGTAAATAAGCAAAATAATTTGAAACAAACGTTTTATATAATGAATCCTCATAACACATTTTTCCAGTCCCTTGGCTATTTTTTATATTGAGGTTCAACTGTATTGTTTGCCGTTTAACTGACAATATTCTTCCCTGTCTGATGCAGCCTTCTGTTATGCCTCCTTCCCTTTGTTAATGAATTGTTTAAATAAATTAGTGGGATAATTTTGCTTTTTGTGCTGGTTCATTTCTTCAAGATAATTTAAAGGAGCTGTGTCACGAAATTCAGCCAAATTAGGAAAATTACAAAATGCCCGTCAAATTAAGAGAAACATAAAAATAACCACTTAAAACTTTAAAGGAAGGTTAAATAACATAACAGAAACAACAGATGCCACGGATGGGCAAAACTGAAGAAGACTGAAACGGATTGAAATTAGGGTTTTTGAAAACTGTTCAGCGTAACAGTTTTTCAAAGTTGATCCCTGCTGCTTGAAACTTCAAAAATAATGCTCAGGAGACATATTTATTTGTCTTGGATCTCTGGTTTTGTCTTTTACCTGTAATTTCTTTGCTTACTTTAACTATTAAGTTCCATAGCGATTGAGGGCAAGTAATTGGCAAAATTAAACAAAATGAACTGGACTGCTGTGACACAGCCCCTTTAATTTTGGAGCTATCTAAGAAGGGGGGATTTTCATGGATGCATGCACATCATGAGTTAAATTAAAATTCTTGTAAGAAAAAGCAACAACGAAAACAACAACAACAGAAACACAAGGATTCTTTTTTTCACTTTAACAGCAGTCAATAGAATGAAAGAGAAGAAGTTGAAATGTCTTAGTATGGTGTTGCCATGTGTCTTGCAAAACATCAGAAACATTGAAATATCAGATGAAGTAATAGAAAAGAGCTCAAATGAGGACACAGATGAAAAGGGCCAAGTAATGCTGCATTCCATGAAAAGTGTACTGGAGTTTCTCAGGCCACTTGTGCAAGAAGTCAATGTAGAGTTCTCCTGTTCTAGCAAGGTGAGTACATGGATATAATGAATATATACTGAACAAAATTAATATAAAGTATGCAATGTTCTGGTATTTGGTTTGTAATGGTGTTAGCTCATAGTTGTCTCATATATTACGGTTCAAAGTTGATTTTAGGTTACTTGATTTAAACTTAAATTGATTCTCATTTTCCTTTGTCTTTTAGTGCTAAGACACAAAGGAAAATTGAGAATTAACCAAGGTTAAATTAAAATTAACCTGCAATCAAATTTGACCTGTGACGCATACATTTTGATAGAAAGGAAATTGCAACGAGTAATAATGCAATCAAGCCACAGGGAACCCAAGCATTTCCAGCGTGTGAACTCAAAATAAATTGAATTGTTTCTATTGTCAGTACATGTAGGTCACACTGGGGAACACAAATGGTCAAAGCTTAATTGCCTTATGAGGATTGATTGAATAATTTCTTGACAATTGATTTTTTGGTCAGTGGGTGTAAAAAATCTTTCCAGGCTGTGATTTTTGTACAAATATGTATCTATGTTGTTTTGTTAAAAACAGAAAAAATTGATCAATATTTATTGTGGTCAGTCTGCTAAATGAATCAATTTGTGAGTTACCTTGCAATAATAATATTCTTGCCTCCAAATTTAAGTCTAGGATAAGAAAACAGTTGGACCTTCCATTTGCATTAACTGATCAGAATTAGTCTAAGGAGGTAGAAGGGGCATTGAATCTCAAGGTGATCAAACATTTCTGTTTGTCACGAAGATAATAGAAAATTAACAAGCTAATTGTACACGCACTTAATTTTTTATGGATTATTTACATTATAGTAAATGTGAATCAATTTTTGAACATATCCAACCACATTGTCAAACGTATTCTTGATAATGATGTTGGATACATTGAATGACACTAATAGGATCCTAATACTGACGGCTATTCAATTAATGTCATTAGAAAGTTGATCTACACCATGAGACAGCATGGGTATATATTAGGTAATTTTATAATACCAAACTTACTTAACTCAGCCATGAAGCAACCTTTTGCGTCATAAAGATAATCACAGACATAAACTTTTGATGTTTTACACTGTTCTGTACAGGCACTGACAACTGCAAAACTGTGACCAAACTACAACTACTTGTTACCTAAATCTAACAAAATTGATTAAAATAGGTGTATATTTATAGGCGCTAAATGTTTTTAAATATCTTGTCCTATCTTATCAGTCTTTCCCTAGTTCATACATCACCGGCTTACAACAAGAGGTTCTGAAATGGTAGGCACTGTTTCAACTATTTGATGGTCTTTACTTTCCTTTCTTATATCCGTTGGGTTTCTGGTGTTTTGTATTTTATCTGTTTTTGTGTATGTTTGTCATATAGAAACTCATTGTGTAATTTTTGTGCTAGTTTAATGCTATACATTTAGAATACCTAAAATTGAGTGATATCAAGCTATGCATAAATGAATCTTACTTTTCCAAATTAAAGTAGAATAAAGGTTAAAGGAATGTACTTGATGCTGTACATTAGGCTGATTTAGCAACAGAATGGGTACGTCAGTTGATGACAGTGCGCGCAAATTAAACAACTGGCTTGACCAATAGCAGAGCGGCAAACTGGGTACCAGAAGTTGTGTTTAGTACTTTCTGCGTTCTTTCCCATCATCAACTGAAGTTCCCGTCCTGTTGCTAAATCAGCCTAATGTACTGACAATACTCACAGTTCAAAGCTCATTATAATTTAAGTCTAACCATGCTTCGTTTGATACAGTACTTTCTGCCTTCTCTTTGTCTACACGACTATTATGTTTCCCATTATTGACTATGATGAGGGTTACAGTCAAGGTCAAGTTCATGGGTGCAATTAACTTCTGTTAGAGACTCCCTTGATCCATGTTCATAATAAGCTTATTATTCCATCTTTTTCTCTTATATTTAGTTTGATCGAGCTTCTGGATTATCCAGTCGTTTACCTGGATCTAGCAAAGGAAAGTAATGAGATAGTTGATTCTGAAGATAAAGACAGCCACGAATCTGACTCAGATAAAGAATTAGCTTTATCGGCATCACCATACAGACAGCTGGTGCAAGAAGTTATGGTAATGGTTCAGAAAATTTAGAGTAATTAATTTTCATATGAACCACTGTGCATGAACACAAATGTCAGATGAACTAGGAGGTGCAATTAAATTTTGATTGCTTTAGCATGAGGAGACAAACACGTAAGGCATTAGGTTGGATAGAAATTTAGGTTTTTCACAAAAATCCGGCTTTTTGGAAGTAAATCATCTTTAAATTCAATGAGTAAGTCTTAGATTTTTTCTTTTATCACTACTGACCGATTTGTTGGAATCATCATTTTGATGGGGATGAATTTGTACCGTTATGCGATGCGCCAAAAGATATTTTCTGCCCAAAAGGCCACCAAATTTGTTGCATGGTGCTTCATTTAACTAGATTATTTTACCCCTAGCCCAGGGTATCAAATATCTGACTTATCTTTGATAAATAAGGTTTTTAAACTTTGCTCTTCCATCAGGTAACCTTTTATTTATACACAACATGTAGCTGACATTTTGTTAGCTGACAGGCTTTTTAGGGTGCGTTCAATTTATCCTATTCCGGAATAAGAATACGCCGGCATAAGCTTTGATTCAAATCTTTTCTAACGTGATTTTTGGACCACTTAAACGCTACATTTGTCGAGATATTTTCTAGATTTCTAGATATTGCAATGCAATGAACACCAAAATAAGTGATTTCTAGCGTTAATTCCATTTATTCATATCCCGGCATACAGTCCGCAAACGAACACGCCCTTAATAAGTAGAGATAACCAGTGTGAGGTGTTAGGTAAAATTGCTTTCTGATTTTGCACCAACAGCAATTTATCCAGATGACTAGTCGCTCATATGTGAATGTTTATCTCATGGAATATACTTGGAAAATGGGTCAAATGCCTGATAAAATAAACAAAACAGTTGAAGACAAGCCAGGTGCTGATGAACAAATCTCAGTGGAAGAAGACTTGGAAGCCGAGGAGAAAGGTGAAATAAATGGAACTGAAAAGTGCGAAGCATATATGTATTTTTTATAATCAAAACCTGT